CCCTCCTTATATCCCACCTTCCTTGTTTCTGATTCCATCATTACAGAGTGCTTACAATGTCCTAACAAACTGTCCCCCTCAGACATCCTCACAGTTGAACATGCTGTTTCCAGCTGCTTCCTTCTTCTACAGTTGAATCATTTCTACTCATATGCAATAGTAATTTCATAAGGTCATGTTCTCCAAAATTCTCTTCTGTCCTTTCCAGGTAGCTCTAAGCCCTTAGTTTTGTTGTTGTTGTTGTTGTTGTTGTTTGGTACCAGAGTTTGAACCCAGGAGTGCTTGAGACCATTGTGCTACATCCTTACCCCTTCCTTTCTAAAAATGATTTTAGAGCCTTGCCAAGTTACTGAGGCTGGCCTTGAACTCATGCTTCTCCTGCCTCAGCCTCCTGAGCCACTGAGATTACAGATGTGTGCCACTATACCTGGCTAGCCCTTCCTCTCTTGAGCTGCCACAATATTGTTTACTTGACTCCTCTGCACTTACTATGCTATAATCATGCTGTTATCACTTGTCACTCTCTACCACTCACTTAACTCTAATCTCATGAAGACAAAAGTTTTCTCCATGATCTTGTTCCCTCTAAGGTAGCTCCTGTCACACAGAAGAAATTTGATGAATGATTGTTCAAATACATACATGTTTAATTGTAGTTTTATGATTTAGATATGAGGTATCCCTGGAAAGTTTGTATGTGAGACAATGAAATAATTTTCATAAGTGATATCATTAGGTTGTGAGAACTATAACCTAATCAGAGGATTAATCCATTTGATGGATTAATAATTTGCCAGGACTACTAACTATAGGCAGATAGGATATGGCTGGAAGGTCACTGGGAGCATGCCTTTGATACTTACATTTTGTTACTGACTACTGGTGTGCTCCCTTGCCCCCCCTCTCTTTCTCTGCTTCCTGGCTATCATGAATTGAGTAGTTTTCTTCCTCTACACCCTCCTGCCATGATGTTTCTGCCTCATCTGGGTCCCTGAGCTATGGAGTCAGTCCATTATAGACTGAACCTTAAATAACATGAGCTAAAATAACCTTTTCTTCCTTTAAGATGTTCTTGTTAGATATATTGGTCCCAGCACTGCAAAACTAACATATAGTAGAAATTGAATACAAACACATCTCAGTCTAGCTTGCTTATATGATTTTTGAAAGTTATAGAAGCAATTATCTCCACCAGAAAATTATTATTAAATCTATTTATTCAAGGGCAAGTATTTAAAAATCTACCTAATTGAATTTGACTTTGGCAGATTACTTAACTCATTGGCGTTTCCTTGTCTAAACATCTGATATAATAAGATCTTCATGTCTTCATTCCTTAAATATTTATTAAGGCACTTCCATGAGCCAGGCAATATTTTAGCCAATTGTTGATAGACCTGAACAGTGTTAAGGGTTATTCTGCTCACATGTTGCTCTGCTCCAGTGGAAGATATAGCCAAGAAAAGACATCCAGTGTGATATGTGTTCTCATGGGGAGTATCATGGGAGTTACTGTGATACCATGGGATGTATTAGGGGACACCAGTTCCAGAACTGGGAACAGAAATCAGGGAAGCCATTTTTCATGACATTAAAGCCAAATAGTATATATGAGTGTGTAAGTGTAAATGTGTGCATGTGTGCAATTGGTGGCTAGGAGGAACGGGGACAGAATAAGAGCTTTCCGGGTGAACAAAATAGCACTTTTAGCAATTCAAAAAAAGCTTCATTATTCAATTTAAGAGAATTAAGTGGTACATGTACACTCAAATGTTATTGGAGAAGTACAGGGACTAGATAAGTTATCAGGCTTCTTAAAATATTTGGATGTTATTTTTAGAGTAATGAGAAGCTAGTAAAGGAGGAACTGATAAGAATTGCATTTTTAAAAAGTGCAGTGTAGAGGTTAGATTACTGAGATGCAGAATTGAAATGGAGAATCCAATTAGAAGGTTGTTAATCATAATACACAAGAGATGATGCTGATTTTGACCTAAGAAGTGGTAGTGTGTAGAGCAATAAGCAAATAAAAAAGGTACAGAACTGACAACCAACAGAGCTTGATTGTAGAGTCCCAGTAAGGAAGAAATCAGAGAAAATGTTTATTTTTCTGTCTCAGCCTGAGTGATCAGGAGAGCCAGTCATAGGAGGAAACAGGCATGATGGGGTGATAACCTGTTTCCTTTTGTACTCAAGAACTGCTTTGAAGATTAATTGAAATAATTTATGGAACAGGAACTATCCCAAGGCCTAATGCATTTTTTCTCATTTCTGTAGTCTTTTCCATTCCCTTCTTCTCTTTTTCACCATTGTTCCAATCACTTAGTAGCAAAACTGGCAATAGAATCCCAGACTTTTTCTTACCATCTTAGAGTTCTCTGTTAATGAACTACTGATCTATAAACAAAGATGAAACATACTTTAAAGCGAATATTCACAACTTATCCCTGAATCACTTACAAGCTGACAGCTATCCAATTTATTTTTAGTTTATATTTAAAATGAATCATATGTTCCAAAGTGACTGACAGAAACATAGCTTTGTTTCTGAAGCCAATTCCTTTCCATCATTTTTGGACATCATTCAGAGCTATAACAGACTTTCATGGTGTTTAAAAGCATTCATCTATGACAACAACAAATGCTAATTATCATAAAAAATAAATAGCTCCTGTTAACATCAGTTTAAGAATTTCTCCTACTCTTGCACTATATTTCATCTATCATCCCATCTGTTTTCGGGGAGGGAACAAAGACTGGATGAAAGTATAATTATCATGTATCAAAGTGGACAACACAATGAAAGAGAAATGAATATAAATGGGAGGAATAGCATACATAACAAATAAATCTGGAAAAGGAAAAAGGAAAATATAAATAAAATGTTGCATGTGTGTCCTACAGTAAATAATTGATACATAAGTCCTTAACAGAGTCAATATGGTTTATCTTGGTCGGTGGGGGGCTACCCATTTCAGTTCACAGTGCTAGCTATAAACAGATCTCTTCCAAAGTCACCAAATAATAATCACGTTTTCCTGTGAAATTTACAAATTCTTTTTTAAGTTCCATCATTAAAATTCTACCTTGAGAGTTTTAAATATGAAGAAGACAAACATTCAATTTTCATATACTTCTGAACATATTTTAAAGAGACTCTTCTACCTGCCTTAAAGTCAGTTGTATCACATAAAATAATCATGAATACCCAGGTTCTCAAAAGTGCTTTCAATTAAAAGAAACAAATGGTCAGTTACAAATTAAATTTTCTCATTAAGAATAATTATAAAATCATAAATAATGATATGTCTTTAAATGTGAATTAGAAACTCAACAAAGGCAAGGACTTTGCTTCTTTTACCGCATGTAATCATATCTGTAACTCCTTGGCCTGTAGCAGGTACTCAATCAATATTTGTTGAATTAAATGTTGCATGAAATAGAACATTAATAAATATTTTCCCAAGAGAATTTTTAAGCCATACTTATCCTACAAATAATTTTGTAATGACTCTAAATTGGCATTAATATTTAAATAATTGAAGACCTTTGAAATCTCCAAGAATCTACATCACCTTTAAAGCAATGAAAGGAACAAAGCTTCTTTAAAAAGCAACTTACATTATTGTAATAAATTTAATCTGAGGTCAGGATTCCAATAAACATACGCAGCTTTAATTAAATATATATATATATATATATATATATATATATATATATATATATATATATTATTATACACACATGCATGCACACACACACACATTTATATTTCTGTTCAAACTTGTCTATTTCCCAATAAAAACTTTTTAAAAATATCTTCATTTCTCAAGTCCTGTAACCTCCTGTTCTCTTTAAAAAGCTCCTATTTGCCAATTTGTAGTAATCGATATTCTTAACAAATAAACAAATTTTGGAACAGACCTCTGTATCTGCATATGTAAACTAAATGTATTCCTGGCATACTCTTGGGAAGAATTTAAATTAAAATAATTTCAATTTTGTATATTTAAGAAAGTATAGTGAAGGGCCCTAAAATAAAATATTTTATGTTCTAATTTAAAGAATACTAGGTAGAGTATTGAAAAAATAGCATAAAATTTTAGCTATGTTTCTGTCAATCATGTATTGCTCTGTTTTAAGTTCCTTCACCTCTATAACTGCCAACAGATATTAAAAGTTTATTTTTACTGTTTATTTTCTTAAATTTCTCTGCAACTATTTTTTTCAATACTGGTGGATGATATGAACCCAGGACCTCTTGCTTGCTAGACAAGTGCTCTACTGAACTACACCCTCAGCCTAAGACTTGTGTTTAGTTAAAAATTGAAGGTAACCATTCATATATAAAAATATTGACATACATTAAAACAAGAAATTTGCATAACCTCCAGTCAGTAAGTATTCATTAAAATATTCTTTTAAGACACTCAATAAATATCATTTGTACGTTCTAGTCTCTAAATCCCTAAGTGGTGTCTGCACAAGAGTAGTTCCAAAAACTCACAAATATTTCAATGGTTATTATGTTGTTGCCCAGTTGAGAAAGAAATCTCAACAAATTTATTACTTTCCATATGCATTATTTGCATATAAACAGATAAAAAATTGAGGCAAAACTATGAATTTCTTGACAAGTTCACTGATAGCTGCAGGAAATTATCTTCAACCTATTAGAAATATTCTTTGAATAAACATCTCAATATTATATTTCATACTATCTCTATCCTTTGCCCAATTTATGGTTAAAGCTAGTTGATACTTCAAAAAAAGTGCTTAATACACAAACAGAGAAAAAGTCTGTGATTTTGCTGTTATCTGTATACATGAAATTAGGATTGATATCTGGTTCCAAATGTCTTTCCTTTTCTTAACTTAATTTTTAAAAATGAACAAACAAACAAAAACCCACATAAAAACCAAGAACACAGAATTCAGAGTAGGCTACAGAAAATGATATATATTTAAAGCATAGCCCAAAGACTACTGATTTTTCTTACCAGTGCTGTCATCATATACAACTGTGACGGTTTTCCACTTGAAAAACTGCACCAAGTCTAAAATGGCACGGCTGAGCGAAGAGAAGTCTGGGTAGAGGCTGACATAAAAGGAATCTTTGTTGTCTGACACCTGGTGCTTCCAGCGGGTCTGTATGTGGGGAACCCCCAGAGCATTGCAGATGGACTGTACCGCATTTGCTGATGAGCTGTGTGAAGGCCCGAAGATGGCAGCCACCCCAAGAGACAGTTGATCACAGGCTACAGAGGAGATAGAAGTCTGTTAATAAAGAGAGGAGAGATGCCAGTACATCAGCAGATAACACATTATTATTAAAACCCAAAGGTATCATCCTGAATAAAGATTTTTTCTTTAACGTAATATTTACATTTCACTACTTTTGCATTTTATCTGTCTGAACATTTTCAGTTTGTTATAAGAGAATTAATTCACTCAAATGCCTGCAGCTTAATGTTCAAGTAAGTCTACAATTTTGGAAAAGGAGAAAGAAAAGGAATGTCTACACATTTTTAAATTTTCATGTTCATTTTGGAAGACTAATTTTTGTTAGGAAAATGAAAAAAATAGTGTTTCTTCCCCAAATTTCCTGGTCATCCTTTATAATTTAAAATTATTAATGAACAGTCAGCCATTTGGTCCCTCTTCTGACTGAATTAGCTAGGGCAAAATACAGTTAAAGTATAGTCACAGGTCAACTTATGCATACAACCAGTCATACAAAACCTACTATGGCTCTTGGGGATGATTTCATATGACTTTAACTCACTGAGTAGAAGAGCGCCAAAATCATTAGATAAGTATTCATCTTATATACTTTTTGGATACTAAAATGTCTTTTATACTGTTCTAAATTATTTTTTAAAGTTAGTATTTACTCACAGAAAATTTCATTTTTATGAATAATAATTGTAGTAATTAAAAGGCATAAACAAACTAGAGCATATTCAGTTTAGGACTTAAATTTTTATAAGGCACACTGAAGCAAATAGTGAGTTTTTTCCCAGAGTGAATAATTACTAGAATCATGAAAATTATCTTCAAATATTTGAAGAACTGGGGGCTGGAGTTGTAGCTCAGTGGTACAGTGCTTGCCTGGTATGGGTGAGGTACTGGGTTCTATCCGCACCACCACATGAAAATAAATAAATAAAGGTATTGTGTCCATCTACAACTAAAAGTATATATATTTTAAAAATTTTTACTAAAAAAAAAATTAAAAAAAACCTTGAAGACCTAGACTGTGAAATAAGTTTAAGCTTGTGTCATTTAACTGGCAAAGGAGAACCTGGGCATTTAAAAGCTTCTCACAAATTAATATATGTAGTGGGAAATGTCCAGACATGGAAAACTTTGTCCAAGAGGAAATGATATGTCCATTACTGTAAACATTTAAACAGGACTGAGGAGTTCTATTGGGATTTAAACTAAAATCAGATATTCAGACACAATTCTTCCAAAATGGATTGTAATTCTACTGTGTGAACTTTTCTGACATTTTCTTTCAGAATTTTCTACAAAAAATGTAGAATGTGATGAATGAATTCATAATCATCAAGGCATGCAATAATAAAGTCTTAGTTGGAAAAACATTTGCTTGAACTCTCTTCAAAATTCCATTATGATCTAAACACATTGATTTTGAATAGATTCTTCCTTTCTACATAATGAATAGAATTCTGAATTCATAGAAAATCTGGAGCCTAAAAAAATCTCAACTTGGGATTTCTCAACATGGGATTTTAAATTAATGTACATTGAGAACAAACAATCTTCCTTCACTCATTTTTTTTTTTTTAGAAAAATCACAAGCTATGAAAAGCTAAACATTTTATGAGTATTTAGTGTATTCATGTGTCTAACATAAAATTATCAATTGTCAGAGGAGTCATTTAAAAATAATATATGATTCAAATAATGAATCAAGTTCTAATACATAAGTATATTCATTAACTCAGCAAAACAATGTTTTCCTAATAGAAATACAGGAGAAAAAAAGCCAGTGAAAAATGTCAAAATTTAAATCTAATTTCTTATTATTTTCTTGTCTTAAAATTAACTTTTTAAAACATTCAAATTAATTAAACTATTTTATAATCAATCATTAATGTCATTATCAATGTGTATTTTTATTAAGCCCCTAGGAGGTTCAAAGCTATGGTAACTCTTCCCTTATATTATCCTTTTACCTATGTGTATTTTCTAACCAGCAACAGTTTAACAAAAAAGAGCTTCACAAGATAAAGCTCAAACCTGCAGTCACACTTTTAACATCTAACAAAGAAAGTTACTCACACACTTTTTTTGAGCTTTTCCTGATTTTAGGCCAATGTCAACTAATAGATTTGATTCCCTATGAGTTTTTAAGAATTTTAAATTTATTATAAGGGTTTGGAAAACAAACGACTGGCATTTAATATATTGCTAGGACATTCCCAGCATAGTATCTTGTTTTCTGTCAGAACATTCTAGCCTATGTTTTTACATTGTTCCTGCAAAGTCATCATTAAGAAATCTATTAATATTTTATTTATACTGCACTCATTCCATGTTCTTTGGTCTGAATGCTTTCATTAGAGGCAAAGCTTCTTCTTCCTAATGAAAATAATCATGAACTATGCCACTAATCAAATGCACTTGTCTTGCAGTTAATGACTTACTTTGCAATTATGATGACAAATGTAGCATTTTGCAGTAAACTTTAACCTTTTTTCAGCTTTCCAAACCTTTCACTACCCTGACATGGTTCTGAAATGTGGAACTTATTTGTATTCATAAAGATATGAATTCAAAGGGCAGGGAGAATATGGCTTTGATAAACAGAAGTTAGCTGCTGGGGGAAAAGAAGACTTTCATCTTGAGCAATGTTGTACCTTATCAGCTGCCATTCATATTAATAAGCTTAGAAGAAATCTGCACCAACTTAGAATTATAAATAATTATGTACATTTCCATTAACAAAAGGCAGCTAGTAAAATAATATTAGCATCACAGAAAAGAAAACATTGTTTAAAAGTATGAAGTGCAAACAAATGCTTTGTATGCCTGCTCCTTTGAAAAATCTATGTCATGGAAGTTAATTTCTATTACATGATTTTTAACTATGGAAAAGACAAGACCCCAAGTATAACATCACCTACATGTTAGAAAAGATTACTTACATGAAATTATGGAAATATCTATCAAACACATTTACAAATAAGACTGCCATTTTGCTAAAATAATACTTTGATAATATTTCCATTATCTTTCTTCACATCTGAATGTTAAATTCATATTCACAAAATGAATGGTTTACTACTCTTGTCATTTCAAATATTTTATAAAATAATAATACATAAAATACATAAAGTATTCTAATTATTCCATTATATAATTTTTATATCAATTATCATTTAGTTTCAGTTGGAAGAAGAAACACTGAGTGATCAAAAATAAGCATAGAGAATACATAAAATAATTATAGTTCAAAATTTTCAAATAAAATTGGACTGATTTTTTGAAGTTACTTGAAACCACAATACTTTCAAGGTAGTCAATAAATTGATACCAAAGTGATAATACAAAAGTATTGACAGGTAATAAAAATGAAAATGTAACAGTGGATTTCAAAACTTCGTGAAATACACTGATACATGTATCTTATTTTAATGGGTTTTTAAAAATAGGTATAATTTACTAAACAGGCAAAAGGATCAATTGGGATAAAAACAATTTGACTATCACAGATTTAATTGCATTGATTTATAAGCAGATTTATTCTAAAATGTGATTATATCACCTTCCCCTCCCTGATAAAATTTTTGTGCATTTAGAAAAGGAAACTTTATATGCAAATGTTCTTAACAGCTTATTAACTACATGAGGGTTTTAAGAAATCTCTTAAGAATACCTGGAAATTTGAATTCCAGAAAACAAGATGCTAAATATCAATCAATTACCTTTCTTGGATGCTTCAAAACTGTCATATAGATTGATCTTCTGGGTGTCATAGGTTAGGGTGGTATTGGGCAACAAGGTCCTATTTCTGTTGATTGTGTTCACAGCAAATCTGAACGCGAGTTCCTCAGCTCCCATTGGGCCAGATTCCACATATTCAAAAATACCACCTGGCAAAACAAAAGAGAATAAGCACATGGGTCTTAGAATATAGAGAAAATCTCAGAAGTTTTCTATATTTTAAGCTTATATATGCACATCTGAGTGTCTGCATGTGTGTTTGTATGATTTGTTTAAGTGCACAGGGTTTGTACTTACTTTTTCTATGAATTGTATAGATAGATATACCCTTTAAAATAAATTCATACTGGCAAAAACTGCCTTGTTGTGCTGACAAAATTTAATACTATTTAAATAGGATATGTCTCCTCTGTCTTTGGCAATAACTTATTTTAGAGCTGATAGATACACAAGGTATATCATAGATAGACAGATTTTTTTTCCTTAAATAATGAAAATTAATCCCCAAATTTTGCACACTGTTCCAGAATTATCAATGCCGCACGTGTGTGTGTGTGTGTGTGTGTGTGTGTGTATGAGATAAAGCTAAGCAATGGAAAAATTGAATTCAAGTTATCTCCATTAATTCAGAAGTCAGAATTCTTTAGTTCAACTTTTATGATATTTATTTTGTTTTGATTAAAGCCCAAAACTTTTGCAAATCCCAGCATCTTATCTGACATATGAGAAAAGATAACCAAGTATCATTTCTTTATTTGTTTTCTCTAAGTCTCTTTTCAGAGGACACATGGCATTAATGCAGATCCCTTAATCAACAAAAAGCACTGTAACATAAATTTTCGTCATAAAATGTAATTTTAAGACATGTGCCTTTAACCTGGCACCTTCCCAACTGTGCCTTAGCAAAGTTTCCTCATTCTTGTCCCTGTCTTCTTCCTCTCTGATATTACTCTTCTGCTGGAAGATTCCTGCTACCAAACTTTGCCTTGGCAGAATCTCTTTTATATTGTTGGTATGGTGAATAAGATGAAAAGGGAAATGCCTGATATTTTTTTCCAAATTGTCATTGAAGAATTAGTACTGTAAAATTAAAAAGCCTTTATCTTTCCCTCTTTTAAATTTCACACCATGTACTCATAGCACAATCATTCACAAACTACATCCCTTTGAATAAGGCAGTTTCACAATTAGAAATCCATGCATTATCAAATGTATTTTCATACAGGAATGCCAGGTGACAATAATACTGGTAACTATCTATTCAAATTTAACATTCAGATTTAACAAAAAGTCATGGTATCTTTGCAATTCCTCTGAGAGCAATTAGAACTTAAAAGGACCACAGGGATGGGGCTGGGGTTGTGGCTCAGGGGTAGAGTGCTCATCTAGTGTTCGAGGTGCTGGGTTCAAACCTCAGCACCACATAAAAATAAGTAAATAGAATGAAGGTATTATGTCCAACTACAACTAAAAAGTAAATATTTTAAAAAAAGAACCACAGGGATAAAAAAAAATTGTTGTTAGAAAGAATATGATATTTTTTTACTTAGTACCAAATTAGTTTGCAATATTTTTCTTATTTGGGATTTTAACTGAATTGATGGTATAGTTAGTATAGAAACAGACTTATTGTAAGATAGTAACCTGAATATCTTTAAAATTATTGGTGACTTATGCAGAAGGACTTGAGTATCTACATCTCCAATGGGTAATCAGAACTAAATTATATGTCTTGTATAATGGAAGACAATAGAGGTATAGGAATGGGTTTTAGAGGCAGACTAGATTTACATTCTGGGTCTGCCACTTGCCACTGGTGTAAATTTGTACAAATGCTTAAACCTAGTTTGAACTAATTCATCTTTTCTAAAAAGGATGATAAGGGAGTCAACTACACAGAATTGTTGTAAAAATGAAATATTGGCTAATATGAAGTTCTTAGAAGAGTGACTGCCATAGGGCAAGCACTCAATATGAATGTAAAATTTCATCAAATCTTCAAAGAAATCCCAAGTAGAAGTATTTTACAAGAACAAAAATATCAGCCAACAAGTGAAGGAGCCAGGATTGTAATCTGTCCATGTCTCATTCCAAATATTGCCTATTCCACAAGAAACCAGCAGGTTTCTTTAAATATTTATTCAGGAATAATATACAGAATTTATTAAAATGTAAGACACAGTGACTTAAATAATATAATGATATTAGAAATGTAAGATCTTATATATAGAACAGAAAAAAATTATAAAGTACCTGAATAGTTAATTATGAATAAGAAGTCACCTACACATATCTGAATCTGAAGTAGTTTATTCCTGGAAAAATAAAATTTAAAAACTGAATCTTCTACTAACCTCAATTCAGAATTGTAATTTCTATTTGATATAAATATAAGATCGAGAATTAGTCAATATTTGATGATAATATGTTGAAACTTGCTTATCTTGTACTTATCTTCAAAATAAATACTATAGATTCAACATATTTATCACTGCTTTGAATATTTAAATAAATCTTTGAAATTCAGAATAACTAGTTTTCTACCTTAATTAAATAAATTTAATAATTTTTATTGATTCAAAGCCAGAATCTAATACTTTGCTCATAAAACCCCCCCAAAAATCCAGATAATGCAGACTTCATAAGCAAAATATCATCCATAAAACCATCTAACATTATTAAGAGAGAAACTGAATAACTCAGCACCTCTGACATGTGCAGAGCAGGTATTGTAAGAAAGGATAAAAAAATATTTTATATAAAGGAATTGCTTTCCAGAAAAAAGTAGAAGGGAAGCCACCAACACACAAGGAGAGAAGAAACCTTTTCACATCCTGTTGAAAATTTTGGAAAGTTTTAATAACATCTAACCATTAATTGGGCAAAGAAGAAAAAAAGTATAAACACCATACTAGATGTTATAAAGACACTTGGAAGATTATCATTAATTATTCTTTCTTTTAAAAAGATTTCTAGGAACAAAGAGAAACAACGATATTGCATTAAGATAAAAATCACAAATTGATAGTGACTGTTATATTTAAGAGGAGGATGGAAAAGAAGTTACACTGTCAAAGAAAAAAAATGTCTGTAATATCCACTCTTCATTAATATTTATCTTCTTTTCATTAAAAAGAGAAGGGACCAAAATATCTTTTGTTTTTATTTAATTATATAGATTTTTTTCCCCACTGTGGATTATTGAAGGTCTTTATTAAGGAAGATTTGTGAGCCAAAATTCCTCCATAGTTTTGAAATCCCAAGTATAATAATAAGGAGAAAATCATTTAATAGTTTTCCATTCTGAGGTCTTTTGCCAGAGAAGGAAAAAGAACTGATATCATGCCCTATTTGTAGTCCCAAGATTTTTGAAAGATGTATCAATATCAGAAAAATTAATGAATCACTACCGTCACCTTCTGAAATGTTTGTTTATGTTATGTATTTGTTTATGTTTATGTTAAGGCACCCAAGCTGTTCCTTAACCTCCATGGTCTGTTGAGAATTACAGGGTCCTAGGGTCCTGTCTTGTGAAACCCTAATTCCTTTTTTTCTCTTGTGCTGTTAAGAGTAATCAACTGTATGTTTGAAGAAAATACCTAAATATACTGTTTCCAGTCTTCTATAAACTTCTGTTAGAGAGAAATGAAGATGCATGGGTTTAGAACATAAATTTCTTTATGAAGTTTCAGTGGGTGATATGTAAAAATTAAACAAATATGTACAAAATCAAATATACCATATTTGATGCCAAAATGCTCAACAAGTAGTTACAATATGCACTATGTCTAACACAACATTAACTGTGGTTTGAATGATAGTTCTTTGATTGATTATAATTTTCTTCTTTTTGTTTGCACATTTTAATTAGCTGAAAATAATTATATTTTCATCTTGTTATTTTTAAAAAATGAATATGTTTTAAAATGAAACTAGAATATTAAGAAATAGAAGAGAATAGGAGAGTTTGTAAAGAAGAATATAAAAATCTCAGGGTATTTGGTCATTTGTTCCTTTTATGATAGGAAAGATTTAACATGTTTATATGTAGGGTAAAAGAACCAATCAGAAAGAAAAGGGAACAGATAGAAAAAGAGAGAGAGAGTTATCAGTGTTGTAGCCAGGTGACTCAGTAGCAAGGGGGGATACAAGCCCAAGTTGAGGGAAATATGCAGAACCTTAGGGAGGAAGACACCTTATTCTCTTTAGCAGGAGGCCATTCCCTGTAATTTCCATATGCAGAGATGGTCATGGAAGTGAGGGAATATATATTTTATGTATTTTCTTTATGAAGTAGGACATAAGGTCTATTAATGTTATTTTTCTGAAGAAGGAACCAGCTGCTTTTATACTGAAAGTATTCGTTCAGTTTTAAAATTGCTAATAAAAAACTAAAAAGCAAAGCATTTTTATTCTACCTGTTCATGAACCTGCAAAAGAATAACTGTTCACAACTTTGAACCAGGCTTTATCTCTTTATAAAACTTGAAAGTTAATATTCATTTTTTGCTAGGTATCTAATATTAAAAAAAAATCTTTGCCTCCAGACTCACTCATTTTATTATGAAATGTCAGAGCTCTGTGTAGCATTTCATAAGCATGCAATCAATAAAAAAGAGAATCAGTACTCTACAGAGTTCACAAATCATGTTTGATAGATAAAATACATCCCATGGTAATAAAAATATATAAACTATAAGATCTTAAAGCAGCATCTTAGTAATCTGTAATTATATGCTCTCCCTAGATTTATACTAATACAAGTAATTTTCAAATTTGTAGTTTTCAAATTCAATATTCTCTCTAGGATACAAGCAAAATGTGCCACTTTCTAATACTTATTTTTAGATTTTTCACATTTAAGAATTCACCTAATTGTTCTCACAGTTTTATATTATTTGGTTGATTGGTTTGTTTCTTTGAATTCAGAAAAGGCTGTCACATCTCACATAACCTTTATATCAAACAATAAAATGCCTGCAGTTCTTTTTCCAAGCTTACATTAAAAGTTAATAGACCTCATCATTCTATCATAGGCATATTAAAGGAAGGATGGAAACAGAAGGGAATGCCCTTCTTTCTCATAAAATAGTTGCCCCATTTTATTTTGTAAGTGCAGAAGACAAAATGGTAAGGGATCCTGAGTTTA